ATATACAGATAATATATATAATATATATATACTATATATAAATAATATATATATATATATATATATATATATATATATATATATATATATATAACTGAATCACTTTTTTTTGTACCTGAAACTAACACAATATTGTAAATCAACAAAACGTCATTTAAAAAAGAGATGAGGGACAGGGAAATTAATGTCAAGAACAACCTTTGAGAGAGGGAAGAGAGGGCAATGTGTGGAAGCCCAGAAATACTCCGGATCAAATCAAATGTTAGTTCAAAGAGGCTTCTCAAGTCCAGGGGGGTGCTGCTGAGCGGCAAAGCCTGGGCACAGCCGCAGGGGTGGGTCTACTGCTGCTGGGTTCTTTCTCTGCACCTCCAGATTAGAAGGAACTCATCTTGTAAACCCAAATAATCAGAATCAGAGAGAGGTTTGTTGTTTTCCGAGTTGTGTTTATATACTTCTTGACCATTTGACAAAGTCAGTCTCTGCTACCCTATTTCAGTTATTTAGAGCTTAAGAATAAGAAGTTTAGGGTCATGAATTTATCACTGACTATAGTTACTTTCTGTACAAAGGAAGACAATGTCTTATGCCCAACTCTTTCCCCACTTTAGTTCTTATGGCCTCAAGTGTTCCTAGGGAATCAGATTATCCTGGATTATACCCTTTGGTTGGTGGGTCAGTAGCATCACCTTGCACAGGTTGTGGTGGACAAGAGCATCAGGTGAGAGTTGTTCTAGATTCAGCAGCATTCAGTTAATATTCTCTGAGCACCTGCTGTTCCACACACTTACTAGACACTAGGGTCACTGTCATTGAGAAGATTCACCCTGACCTTGCTGAGACCACAATCTAAAGGACACTGACCACTGAGCTTCAGTCCTAACATGTAAACTGTTCTGACAAAGGTTAAACCATTGATGGAAGGGACAGGAAGTTCACCTAACCTGGCTTCGGGGAGTGGTCAGATTAGACTACATGAGAGAAATGACATCTAAACAGAGACCTGCAGAAGCCAGATAAGGCAAAGGAGTTGGCAGAGAGGAGGTGAGTCCATGGTAGTGGGACCTCCATGCACCAAGGCTGGAGGTAAAGAGGGCACAGTGCACTGGAGAAACTGAGAGGCATTCAGAGTGGCTGGTGTGGTGAATGCAAGACGCACCATGGTAGGAGCAGAGAGGGAACAAGAGCCTGGACGAGAAAGTACAAGCCATGTTTACAAGTCTGCACTTTATCTGGGGGGCAAGAGAGTAATTGAATTATTTTTCAGGAGGAGCTTTTGGAATCTATAAGCCTTGGACTCTTTAAAAAACAAACAAAAAAAAAACTGAAGAAACTGTTTTGAAGTTTATTCATTCTCTATAATATACTCTACTTCAGGCAAAAATATGGGCTTAAACTGCAATGGCTTTGGCTTGAAATCTTCTCAACTACTGAAATTCATTAGCTCTGGAAAAAGAAATTTATTTCACTAAAGGTTTTGAGTTTTGCCATAGCCTACTAATACATGGGTGAAATTAGAAATTTCTTGATTTTAAATTTCTAAGAGGTTGGCAGACATGTGCGTGCATGTGTGTGTATATATATGTGTGTGTGTGTGTATATATATATATGAATGTATACTCATAGGACATGCAGTGACATTAACAGAGCTGGTTTATCTTGAAAATATCCATGTAGCCTTCACACAAATGTGTCAGTATACTGGTGGCTGGTCTGAATTGCATTTTTAGGAATGGAAAGAAGACATTCCAGAAGGAAAACATAAGCCTCTTTATCCCATCTTTAAAAAGACCTTCTGCATGTTGTACGTGACACAGCCAGTTTTGGAGGACTCGTTTTATATTCTTGTGATTAACATATTGATATAAGCATTGTCAAGAGCGTAATCATTTCTGGGTGGCTGAGATTAACTTTACAGTAAATATAATAAGCAAATCACAAGCCAGGGAGGACAAATCAGAGTGTCCTTAGCCTTCCCTACAGCGTTAGTTACTGCCAGAAAATAGTCAAACAATGTGCAGTTCACTCCAGTCCCAGCAAAGAGGTCCTTTCTTCTAAATGAGGTTGTGATCGCTGCTGAAACAAAGCCCTAAAAGTTCAGTGGCTCAGCATAATAGAAATATATTTCTTACTCACTTAGCATCCAATCTGTAGGAGGGCTCTGCTCCACGTAGTCACTCAGGGATCCAGGTTGATAGACTCTTCAGCGATACGGCTCTTAATATTGCCTTAAAAATCATTATCCAACTGGAAGTCAGGGGGAGGGGGGGTTTTATGGGACAGTTCTAGAAGCAGACATGGAGAGGCGGAGAGAGGGTTTACGTTGGCTTAACTGAAGCCTGAAAAGACCTTCATTTTACCATTAACCATTAATGGTTCCAAGAGAAAACAACATTTACTTGATAAAAGTTTTAATTTCATTTTAAACAGAATCCTATGTCTTATAAAGCACAAGCAAGGAAATACATTCTTCCTCCTCTGACAAATACTCCCCAAACACCTGAGGTTCATACATAGAATTGCTACCACCTTTGAGCTTTTCAGGTCTTGCATTTTATTTTCTCCCTTCAAATAAAAAACTAAATGCTCCACTGGTCAACAGAAGAACTGGCTCTCGTCTTCTTTCTGCTACTAAGTAGATTAGAGACGTCAACAGTGAGGTCCCTCAGCCTCTTGGAAACCCAGTTTCCTCATCTCAGCTTATTAAAATGTATCGTCCCCTCAGCCTCACCGTGCAGAGAGAGTCCCAGGTGATAACTATGCTTTGCTCAATTGAGAACATAAGTTGTGATATTATTTACAATTAAAACGTACAGTGAGGCATGCCACTCCCAGTCCTAGTATCACCGTGAGAAAACAAAGGCAGTGCTATCTTCGGCAGTGCAGCCACAGATCAGCAAACTACTGTTACTGAACACTTACTTACCCTACAAGAGACACTCCAGCCTGAAAGAAGTTCAGTCCATCATCTCTGTCACGGTTGCTCCTCCTTCTCTGTTCAGTATTTCTACTAATGGCAGCAGCATCCCGGCACCTCCAGGTGTCAAAATGTCACTGACACCTTTTCCTCCTTCCTCGGCCTTGCTCCCCACATCTACCCAGCAGTAAAGCGTTGCCAGCTATGCAGTCTGTCACTTCAGGTGC